ATTGAAGAAATAGATGTCAAAACTGATTGGATATGTTTTAAAAAAATTCAAACTTTTATTGACTCTCAAGATGACAATAGCGAGTTAACTGAATTCAAAATAGATGTTTTAACATTGATTGGATCACAGGATTTTAATGTATTAGAGGAGTTTCTTAAACAATTTGGAGTATTAAATATTGTAACAGCAATTAAAGAACTTAACATTTTATATAGTATTATTGGAGAAGGAGATGTAACTTTATTTAATAGAAATATGAAAGGTTATGTTGATTCTTTTAATAACACAATAAATAATATAATGCAAGATGCCCTAAATGTAGTTACAATATTGAAATGTAATTCTCTTTCTCAAGTTGTAACAATGATACAAGATGTAATAAGTATAACTGGTGTTGATAATAATTGGCAATTGTTTTATGATCAGTTAGTTGAATTAAAAGATCAATTTAAAGATATGTATGATGAACAATTTTCCTTGACTGAAGTTACAACATTAATTGTTTCTATAAAAGCATGTCAAGTTAGTACTGACATAATTCAGGGAGATACTTTAAATGAGAAATTAGAATATCTTAATAAACACTTACTTGCTAAACTGAATGTTATATGTCCAAATATATCATTTGATGAACTAGTAAATTTCTTAACAAAACTTATAGAATTGTCCAAAATTAAAAATGAATTAGATAAAAACTCATTGAAAGAAATTTTAGATAGAATTAAGAAATACAGTAAACTTTCAACTGAGCTTGAAGAAATTAAAAAAGAAAATTTCAAATTAATTGAAACCATAAATGAAAATGAAAAACAGTTGTCTATTGAATCACAAGAAACTAAAAGGATTCAAGAGATAAATAAAAATCTGATGGATGAAATTGAAATTCTTAAAAATGAAAAATATGATCTTGAAATATTTCAAGAAAATCAATCTTCAGAGATACAAAAGAAAACACAACAATTTGAAGAACTTAAGAAAGACTTTGATGAATTAAAGGTTGATTATGATATATTAAAAAATGACTATAGTGAAATAACTTCTAAGAAAAAAATTGGTATCAGTCTTCCTCTTAAACGAGATATACAATCACCAACTGAAATTGAGAGTACAGGTACTGAAGGTATAAGTATACCTCGTAAACGACCTCGAGAGTCACCAAATGGATCACCAGATAGAGATAGTAAGCGAAAAGGAAATGATAATACAAGTTAATTTTACATGAGCAATTTATTGATTAAACATGTGGTTGAAAATATACAATACTTTTTAAAAATACTCCACAATACATATCAATATATTGAACTTATAATCTAACAACAAATACAACATATTATACAAAACTATAATATGTGACACCTTCTGTGTTTCTTTTTTTGTTTTGTAAATGACTTGCACTTGCAAATGCAATATGAAAAATGCTTACATTGGCTACAACTTCGACCATCAACTTGATCATCAGGAACCAAGAAACACTTCTTCTCACAACAGTACAGATCTATTGTATCCATTGTATATACTGTAATAACTGTGAACAAATTAAAATTAATATATAAATGGATTTTACAACAGTCTCTTATACAATATTAATATTTAAAATTTAGTAATAGTAAACCAATCCTGTATCTCTACAAATTCCACATTTAGTATTTATTTGTTTTGAACATTCTTGACAAATTACATGACCACACTGAATATGACATAATTGTTTACATTCTAAACATATAGGACAATTCCCTCTAATATGATTTGAGAAAGTAATTTGTAACATTTCATTAATACGGTAGTTTTTAAAAACTAACAAACCAAATATTTTATTTTTCATAGTTTTTTTGTTAACTTAATATCTAAGTTAATAAAGAGTGGTGCAGAAGAAATGCATATTTTTAATATTGAACTACTGGGATACAATGGGTTGAAAAAACATTATTAAATGATAGGTTTTTGAAATTACATACTATATTTAGATTCTGAAAATAATGTCTTTGAGATGATGCCCTGCTTGCTGGATATAAATTTAGATCCTCTTCTGAAAATTATGGACAACTCTCTCAAAAATTTCATTTGGCATAGCTTCAATTTCCTGACGATTGGAGTTCTTGAGGTTTTGATTTCAAATATCCACACAAAATAGTGTCACATGTCAACAGGTTGAGTGAGTGAACATCACCAAATATCAAAATCATATGTCCTGGGAATATTTGTTAAATTACTTCAATGGATGCTCTTGCCATGTGAGCTGTGGCATTGTCCTGCTGAAAACAAATGTCTTTCATATTCACTTGACAACTGTCAAGTTCTGGATGATGAAAGTAGTTTAACATTTCAATGTAGTGAGGCTGTATAACAGTAACTGCAATCCCTTCTTCTTTAAAAGAAATAGGGTCAACAATGCAGCACAATACTGTTACTTTTAAACTGTGTAGAGGTTTTTGGTGTTGTTCTTGTGGGTTCTCCGATGCCACCACTTTTAAACATTAGCATAACCATCAGGATGAAAATGTGGTTCATCACTCATGAAGACCGTTTCATTGGGTTTTTCCTCAAACATTTTATCCATTATGGGACAAAACTCTTTACACTGTCAAAATCCTCTTCTTATAGCTGGTGGATAAAATTTGAGATCATCATGTAAGATGTGGTGAAACAAACGATCCAACATACCCAGCACTACTGCATATCATCTAGATCTAGTAACTGTAACTGTTTGATTGACTTGGTCTGTATTTTCTTGAGTACAAACTGAATGAAGAAGACTAGATGGTTTCTTTTTCATCACATAACCAATATTATTAAACGTTGCAATTCATTGGAGTATATTATTGTGATCAGTCTCTAAAGCTTGATGTCCAACTCTAAAATGTTGATGGAGAAAAGATGTTACACTGGGACTTCAGAATCATAGTTTCTAAAAAGCTGCTTGACAACAAACATATGATGTTGTAAACTCCAACATACCATAGTAACTGAAATGGTAATGTATGGGCTATCTGCTTACATTTGTCCAAGGTTAATACCCTATCCCATTGCCACATACTAACAGTTCAAAAAACATGTGTTTTTTCTGCACCACCCTATATTAATTAATTTAAATTAAACATTGTATAATAATACATATTTATGATCAAATAAGATTACAGAATACATCAAATACTTGTGAAAAACAGTCTACGAAATAACATGCGTCCCTGCAAAGAGATAATCCTACTCTTTTCTCTCCACTTCCTCATCACCATCCCCTCTTCCTTGCCATCCTCTAAATACATACTATATCCAGGTTTTCTAAGTTTAACAATTAAGAAATCTACATCTTTGATTTTAATCTCTTCTAATTCATTTAATTTAATATATAGGCTATCTAAATTGTTACAATCATTAAATGGCTCCACCCAAAATGACTTTCGTTCATAACAACCAATTTTGCTGTAAATTAGTATATCTAATATTTTACATTTAGAAAAGGTATTGGTCTTTTCTAAAACTTCAGACATTGAAATCCCATTATTAACCATTGTACCACCATCTAAAAACTGTAAAGAGATTTTATCAAAATAAACACCCAATCTCAATGGTTTTCCATCAAAATCAATTCTATGTATTATTTCCCCCTTCGTGATTAAATTTAAAATGATGCAACCAGTTTTCTCTTTCCACATATTTTCAATATTAACAGAGGAAATATCAGTATCAATTAAATCCATAACTGAGACTGACCAATATATTGTGACTAATAGTTTTAGTAGCGGTTTTTACACTTTCTTAAAAATGAAATTGTAAAATATAGGTTAAATTGGTAATATTGTGTCTCCTTACTTATTAAAAATTAAAATTAAATATTTAATTAAATATTATTTAATTTGAATGATTGAAAAATCTAAAATTATAAATACATTTTTAATTAATAAGATTACAAAACATATAAAATACTTGAAAAAAATAATCTACTCTGTATAATTTCTTCCTTAATAGTTGTAGTTTTTCTCTTTTGCAACTTGTCAGATTTATTTTTATGTCCAACTCTTTTAAATTGTTAGGGTGGACACTGCTTAAAATTATAAACTTGGGTCTATGAAGTTGTTTCAAACAGTTTGCAACACAATCATATGAGTTCCGTCCAAGGCAAAATATAGGAATTGGTGATTCAAAGCTATTTGAATGACTTTGAAGAATGAGTTTCAGAATATGTAATAACACTGGATTAAATGCATTGATCAAACATCTTTTTTGAGTTTGGTTATACTTTGTAAAAATCATTGGTGTTCTTAGAAATAAAATGTTTTCATTTTTCTGGATTGATGTAACTTTATCAAGCATCTCAAGTTTGCTCATAGATCTATCATTTTTTTCTCTATTTCCTGTAGAAAGGAGAAGATTTTTATCAATTATTATAGAGTTCCTTATAACACCAACAACAATTCCTTGCACTTTTCTTGGAGATGTTTTAAAAAGTTCATATTCAAACTCTCTTCTCACATCTTCATAAAAATAACTGGAATCACCACTAGATTTGGTGTTAGTTATTTGTTTAACCTGTTCAAGATATTTGTCAAATGCTTCCATGATTAAAGTCACAATGTTATTCACACACTACTTTCCATTAAACTAATCTACTGAATAAACCAACCCTACTTTTATAGTACATTTTAAATAAATAAATAGAATATACTCAATAAAATATTTCACTTTAGTATTTTAACAATTACACCCTTATTTTATATTTCACAAAATTATTATTTATACTCATTTTAAAATTTGATTAATTGTAATTTTTCATAAAAGTTTATTTCAGTAGTATTAAATAATCACTTTCAATGTTCAAAGAATATTTTTATTTGTTCACTGAAACTAAAATCATATTAAGCAAAATTATTAACAAATTTCATATAAGATGTCTTAATTTTATTTTTCTACTATATTGTAACAATAATCAAATGATGTTAAAATATTAAAACTTATATACAATTTTTAAAATATTTATAAACAAAATTTCTAAGTTTGCAATGTTATGAAAAAAACACACGGATGGTTGCATTGATATCTTGGCGACAAACTGCACATTTAGTTAGTGACAAAGCACATTTTACACAGGCCACAGCATGAGCACAGGGTAAGAACACAATAGCCACTTCTTCCATATAGCATATTTTGCATTCATTGTTTCCTGGATTATTTTTTTGTAATTTTTTACTTAATATGTCTTGATTATCCTCCTCTTGTTTTAATTTATATTCATTTAAACCCTCTTGTTTTGATTCTTTTGTTGGGGATTTTGCACATACATTACTAACAAAGCTTTTTCCCTTGGTTGTTAGCAAAAAATAACATTTTGAGAAGTGTCTAGCGTGTTCAACCCAAGGTTCATCCGATTCCTTACTCCAATTATTCAACCCCCCACCACAGTAATAACATATAATGCCATCTTCTTTCCCTGTATAAAAAAATCCAGCCTCACTGAACATTTCAGGTGTAAATTTTGGTGTTTTTGGCCATTTTTGATAAGATTTAAGTCTTGACTCTAATAATTTAAACTGGGGAAAGGATGGAAATTTGATTTGATTTATCCCTAAGTTTTGTAGTGATGGTTGTTGATCTTCAGAGATATTTTTTACGGGAACATTTCCGCATGGCATGTTTTGGACAAATTTACATGAAGGTGACCATCTTTTATGATCTAGTGTGGGATCATCTCCCTCAACCCAAGATCCAATTTCAACACCACAAAATGCACACCGAACAACATCTTCTCTTTGAAAATAATAGAATCCAGAAGTAGCCATTGAACTTGGATTTAAAAATGAAACTGGCCAATTGACAAAACTGTTGAGTCTTTCTGTTTCATATCGAAATCTTAGAGTATCAGACATATTCAAATTTACCAATACTAACCAAAATCCAAAGAGTAGAGATAGTCCGTATAACACTGAACCAAAGTCCAAACAGCAAGGATAGTCCATGCAATACTGACTGGTCTCCTGGTAGGATGTTGGTTTTATAACCCACATAGCAACCCCCCACATTACATAGTGGGGGTCTTAAACTCCACTTTATTAGAGTGTGGGGGTTTTATAGCCTTACTTGAAGGTGGGGGGGATTATGTTTTGAAAGGGGAGGGGACATCAATCTAAATATTCATTAAAGACCAAATCAGTAAATATTTTTTAATTTTAACTTTTAAATCAAACCTGTAGCCACAATTACCATATTAATAAAAAATGCATAAGCTATGTATCTTCAATATATACTGTTTCAAACTCTTTTAAATATTCCATTTCCTCTTCAGTTAGTTGGAGTTCTTGTTTAATTTGATCACAGTTAACAATTATTTGTTCTTGAAAACTATTATTTCGTATTTCTATTTTGTTTAGGAATTCGGTCTCATCTTCTGTCAGTTCTGGTGTTTCTATGTTATTTTTAGAGGGATTGTTAATTGTCTGTCCTTGAAAACCATCATCATATACATCCATTGTATCTAAAAATTCTATCTCTTCTTCTGTCAGTAGGGGTGTTTTAATTTTAAATGTTTTAATTTCTGAGGCATTATTTATTATTTCTTCTTCATTCTGCAACGGTTCATCAGGAGTTATAATTCTATGTTCTGTTTGATGATGTCCTTCGTCTCCAATAGTTAAATTTAAATTTATAACTTGTTTTAAATATTCTTCAGAGTTTCCTCCATATTGTGATTCTGTTTGTAAGGATGGTTCATCTGGATTTACATCTACATTTTCTGGTTTATAATATATTTCATTTTCCATAGTTATTTTTTCATTTATGTCTTGATTCAAATATTCCTCAGAGTTTTCTCCATGTTGTAATGTAAATTCTATTTTAGTACTATTAGATTCAATTTTTTCTGAGATTCTTGAAAATACTAAATTCTTTTCTCTTTTAGTTAAATCTGAACTGGGGCTTTGCTCAAAATCTTCTTCAAAGTTATTATATTGTTGTGGTGTAACATTGGCATTATTAATATTAATTGTACATACTTTATTCTTGTTCTTTTTAGTATATTTTCTTGTTTTTGTTACTCTTTTCCAAACTAGTTGTTGTTCTTCTTTTGGAAATATATGAATTAAGAATAAAATTAAGTTTTCAATTTGTAAACGATAAATTGGGTTCAAATCGTAAAAGTTTGACTTAACAAATAAAAATTTTAAAATACCTTCAACAATTCTCTTTTCCTTTTTGTATTTCAATGTTGGTTCCATGTTTCCACTAAGGCTTTCAAATGCTTACTAGTTGAATTCCAATACTAAGGCTATCTTTTACCCAGGTTTTCAATTGGGGGTTGTAGTGGTGGTGGGGGGTTAAAAATATTGGTGGGGGGTTGAAAATATTGGTGGGGGAATGGCATTTGTTAATTATAGCACTTAAACTATAATTATTATTTTCAAATTAATTTATAATATAATTGTATTTTCATTTTATCTTTTGATAATTTAAAATATTTGTTCTTCATAGCTGGCAATCAGTATTTGAGATTAATCTTCTGGAGGGTACACATCAGGAATTATATATTCTGGTTCATCATCTTCTTGGAATTTTGCAATTATACATAGATTTGTTGTTTGTTCCAAGGATACTTCAAGGTTATCATCGTGTTGTAATGGATCAATAATTGTATCTTTATTATTTGTCAAACTTACTTTGTTTTTCCTAATGTATTTTCTTTTTGTTGATACCTTTTTCCAAACTGAGTGTTGTTCTTGTAATGGAAAGTTACTAATTAAAAATGATATCAAGTTTTCAATTGGTAACTTGTACTTTGCATTTAATTTATGAAATTTCGATTGTACAACTAATAATTTTAAAATGTTTTCAATAATCTTCTTTTCTTCTTTAGATAATAATGTAGCTTCCATGATATAATCAAGAATTCAAAACACTTTATAGTGTAATTCTCATCTTGGGGTAACTTTATATAACTGTAAATTGGTGGGGTGGGGATATTTAGACATTTAGAAATGAAATATAATATATACAGGTGATTTTGGTGGGATGTGAATATTTACAGAATTGAAAGGATAATATTGATTCAAAAGGAGGGGGAGGACTTTTCTTTGGAAGGGTGGGGGGATATTTACAGAATCATTGGAAACTCAATCTGATTTCTACAGAGGGGGCAAGTACTATTGCCTTTCAACCATTCTTTCATACATGTTTTACAGAACATGTGGTTACATTGTAAGACCACATTTTCTTCTGTTGTTGCCAAACAGACTGGACAATCTATACATGTGTTTGCTTCTGTATATGATTTTGGGATATTGTGTCTGACAAAATCACTTATTGGAATCCCCCTTGCCAGATATGTTTTAAAATCGATCCATTTACAATACCTAATCAAATCCAAGTCAATTATATTTTGATACAACGAAATTGTAGGCCAGTGCAATATGTGTTTAAATATATCTAGAAGAAAAGAGTCCAATTTTTGATACCTGCTTATAAGATTTCCAAATTGGTGTAGAAAATATTCATCTCCTGAGTTCAATCTTGAATGTATTAACATCATTTGCTCTTTTGATAAATCTTGATATTGTACTAAATTTAGCCATATTTGATGTTGACTTGCCTGATCATTCATTAGAATCCAAGTTATAAAATTTTTTGATATCTTCTTGTTTCTCAACAACACATTAATGTTTATTTTGTTGTAGTGTTTGTATAAATAGCGTTCAGGCACATCTTGATGATAGATTAGAACATCCCAATCAATTTGATCTTGAAGATGAGTTAGAAGTACATCAGAAAGATTTTGGTTTTTAACCAAAAGACGAAAATCAAACTTGTTGAAAAACTCAATAATTATAGTAGAACTTAGGTTTTGGTGTTTCACCACTTCATTGAAGTTGATTTTATTTTTAAACGTTTTCAGAAATGTTTCAGAAAAACATTCATTTTTATAGAGTTTTTTCCAATCTTGCTGTGACATTTCCAATAGTTTTTGTTTAACAATATTGAGTTTTTGTAGTAACAAGTACTGGAATTTTCCATCATATACTTCTCTCTCTAAGGTGTTGTATAATTCATAAATATCTTTTGGATCATTTAAACGACTTATAAAATAAATCACACTCTCTATTGTTAATAGTACATTCACAATTTTCCAAATAATCATCCTTCTGCCAATTTGTGGAGTAAATTCTACTCCTAAATTCTTTGCGAAGTCTTTCAAATTGTTTAGTGTAAATCTTTCCATACTTACAATCAATTAGATAAAAGATTACAAAATCCAATTCCTTATACTTCTCTGATTTCACTAGATACACTGTTATAGTTTTTGAAAACCTTTTTCAACTTAATGTTCACACAGATGTTCACTTCACTTGTTTGTGTGGGTTCACTGTTACAATTTGTAAAACTTCTTTTAACTAACAAATTATCACTACTTGTCTGGACTGTTGCCTGATTTTACAAGGGATACTACTACAATTTTCAAAGCTTCCTCTGACTGACACCAACTAACCAATGTCAAGTATTTGCTAAGACTGATGAGCCATAGAGTTAGTGGTCCCTTATATCTGCTGTGAATGATTAGAGGGGGAAGTTTATTTAAGATCCCATTTCTTAGTGGGGGTTTACTTTAAACTCCCCTTTTTAGTGGGGGGGGGGTTATTGAACCCTTTTTAGTTAGGGGGGGGGGGGGTTATTGAACTTCCCATTCTAAGTAATATATTAAAACTCCTCAAATTCTCCAATGATCTAAAAGTTTAAGCACAAGATTTATAAATATTTTTTTATGATTTAATTAATTAAATACCTTATAAAGTCAAATATAAATATTAAAATACACAGAATTATTATTGGAAATTCAGCAAATAAGATCAAAAGTTCACACATTTTGTACTAAATATAAAGGATAAACGTTTCTAAGTTGATAGTTCACAGAATAAGTTCATAAGTTCCAAGGAATATTGATATTAATTACAGTTCCAATTTATGTATTTCTATCTCCTTTCATTTTCTTGGCAAAATTGATTTTTTTTATCATTTGCTTTTCCAAGTTTACACAGAGTTTTACAGTTTCTTTTGAAACAGCACATCTTTGACTTATGATATCAAAGTCCAAAAAATGTATAAACTTCTTTAAAAAAGCATGTGTGATATGGTGGTGATGTGAAACCAACTTCCAGTTCAATTTATGGGCAAATTCTATTAAAAACAGATCAGGTGTATTTTTTGATTTGCTTATTAAATCCCATTTATTAGAGTCATAAGACAACAAACGCTCCTTTAGATGTAGTTTTGAAATTTCAGATTTAATCTTGATATAAATATGAAAAACTTCAAACCATTTGAGAGTTTTAATAACTTCTCTCTGGATGTAGCCAAAATATTTACAATCTAAAATTACTATACAAGTCAATATTCTATCCATTTCAGTAAATAATCACCTTCTAAATGGAAACACTTACTTCTCAATAAACTTTTAGGGAAGAGTCACAATTTATAAACCTCACAATAGTGAGCCTCTTCTCAACTGAAGAGGTACTATTTGTGAGCCTCCTTTTAAACATTTTTGGTATCATGGAGGGGGAAGTGGTAGGGGGGATAATGTATAAAATAAAGGAAGGGGAACATTTTAGGAGGTTTCAAGGTCATCCTAAGTGGTGGGGAGAGGGGGGGTAACTGGCTATTTACCATTTGTAACATATAAAATGGGGGTTTTCAAGGTCATCCTGGGTGGTAGGAAGAGGGGGTAATGGTTAATTATTATTAGGGTGGTTTAAAAGGTCATCTTAAGTGGAAGGGATGATTTGTAAAGTAGGAAGAGGGTATTAAAAGTTATCATAAGAGAAGTAGAAAAAGAGTTATGGTGTGATTGTTTAATTGATTTTTAAATATTGTTTTTAGGAGCATC